AGACTCAAATAAAGTGATTGTTGTTATTAGTATTACTGTTTACCTACATGAAATATCATTAAAAGCTAACTTTTTTGACAAGATCTTGTAAGATTGTCTTAACATTGTTTTTAATAGATGTTAGAGTGTTGATACCTTAATTAATAATTTTCTGAGATCTTGTAATTTTTTTTATCAATAGAATGCTGCAAACTGACTTTTGATGACAAGATCCTGTAAGATTTCTTTAAGATCTTACAAGATTTTATCAAGATCTTTTAAGATCTTAAAATGCTACACACTGACTAAATTTGACAAGATCTTGTAAGATTTATTCTAATTAAGATCTTACAAGATTTTTATTAAGATCTTTTAAGATCTTAGCAAGTTGGATACTGATTTTTTTTCAGATAAGATCTTGTAAGATTCTCTTAAGATCTTACAAGATATTTTTAAGATCTTAGAATTTTGAATATTGATTTCTTTCGATAAGATCTTGTAAGATCCTCTTAAGATCTTACAAGATTTTTACCAAGATTTTTTAAGATCTTAAGAGTTAAACAAGATCTTATTAAGATCTTAATCTTATTAAGAGTCTTACAAGATTCTTCTAAGATCTTACAAGATCTTAATAAGATTTCCACCTGGGGTAGAAGCTGTTTGATGGTGTAGACTCTATGTATTGCAAAGGGTCTGTATGATCATGCAGGTTTAATTTTCTGTGCTAAAGTTGGCCCAATGTTGACAAAGAAATTATTGAAAAATTCAGCAATGTCCTTTTCTTGTGAATAAGTCCTGTTATTATGAGTAATTTTTGTAGGGAAAGTTTGACCTCTAGTTTTCCTTTTAACAAGAGTACCAATAAGTTTCCAAGTTTGTTTAAGATTATCATTGTACAATGAGAATTGCATGCTATAATAGTCTGTCTTACTTTTATTCTTAAGATGTGAAAGAATAGCTGCTGCATAATGTTTATATTCCCTTTTTTTTTTGGGAGTCATTGCTTAAGTAATGTGTACGGTACATTTTCTGTTTCCTTTTTACTGATTTTAAAATAGCCTTAGTGAGCCATGGCTTATTAAGTTGCTTTTGTTTGCTTTGGCTAGCCAGCCTGATAGGTGTATGTTTGTCAACAATTTCATTCAGGATATTAATTGCCTCCCTTAGCTTCTCATTTAAATTATTTTGGGGATTAAGAATTTCATGCCAAGCAATCTGATTTATATCATCCAAGTATAGGTCTTTCTGAAATTTAGAATAATCTCGAAAATATATTTTATTATCATTGTTCCGTGTGGGCTGGGTTTTAACTATGCAGAAAATGGGGAAATTATCTCTTAAATCAACTGTCAGGATTCCTGCTGTAAGATTTTTAAAACAATTTGTATATATATGGTCAATGAGTGTTGCTGTATGATCAGTAAGCCTGGTAGGTTTAGTAATGATTGGTAGGATGTTGTTGGCATAGTGCATATCTAAGAATTCTTCAGTTTGGACGTGTTCATTAAATTTCAGGAAATTTATATTCATATCTCCAAAGATGTAAATTTCATGCCTATTGGAATTAATTGATTTGATTATATCATTTAGTTGGTTGCAAAACTGTTCTAGATCACAAGTAGGATGCTTGTAG